TAATCCACAGTCAACTGTTAGTGGTATTATAACAAAGTGGAAGCAACTGGGAACAACAGCAACTCAGCCACGAAGTGGTAGGCCACGTAAAATGACAGACCAGGGTCAGCGCATGCTGAAGTGCACAGTGCGCAGAACTCGCCAACTGTTTGCAGAGTCAATAGGTAAAAACTTTGTGTGGCCTTCAGATTAGCACAACAACAGTGCATAGAGAGCTCCATGGAATGGGTTTCCATGACCGAGCAGCTGCATCCAAGTCTTACATCACCAAGTGAAATGCAATGCGTTAGTTGCAGTGGTGTAAAGCACGCTGCCACTGGAATCTAGAGCATTGGAGACGTGTTCTCTTGAGTGACGAATCATGCTCCTCTGTCTGGTGATCTGATGGTCGTGTCTGGGTTTCGCAGTTGCCAGGAGAATGGTACTTGCCTGACTGCATTGTGCCAAGTGTAAAGTTTGGTGGAGGGGGGATTATGGTGTGGGGTTGTTTTTCAGGGGTTGGGCTTGGCCCCTTAGTTCCAGTGAAGGGAGCCCTTAAGGCGTCAGCATTACAAGACATTTTGGACAATTTCATGCTGCCAACTTTGTGGGAACAGTTTGGGGATGGCCCCTTCCTGTTCCAACATGACTGCGCACAGTGCACAAAGCAAGGTCTATAAAGACATGGATGAGAGAGTTTGGGGTGGAGGAACTTGACTGACCTGCACGGAGTCCTGACCTCAACCTGATAGAACACCTTTGGGATGAATTAGAGCAGAGACTGTGAGCCAGAACTTCACGTCCGACATCAGTGCCTGACCTCACAAATGTGCTTCTGGAAGAATGGTCAAACATTCCCATAGACACACTCCTAAACCTTGTGGACAGCCTTCCCAGAAGAGTTGAAGCTGTTATAGCTGCAAAGGGTGGGCTACCTCAATACTGAATTTTACAAACTAAGACTGAGATGCCATTAAAGTTCATGTGCGTGTAAAGGCAGGCGTCCCAATACTTTTGGCAATATAGTGTACTTGTTCTGTGTCAGTAACTCGGAGACCATCAAAGTCAACGGGTCTACAAAACAGCCACCCAAATAGAATGGCAACAATGGTAGCATATGTATCTTTCTTAAATATTAAATACAGTTTCTTCAGAACCAGGGCCAGATTTTCATTACTGCAGCCTGTAGGCACGCACATTTTATTGTAACACCCCTCCGCTAAGGTCACCCCTTTTATGCACAAAATGTTCTTGTTTTTTGTACCAACAAAGGATAAGCTAAGGTTTGGTCCAAAGATGGTGAATGATGCCACCAGCAATCCCCATCACTTTGTTACATGTGACTGCAGGTCAGGAGATTCCACAGCTGTATATGATTAGATTGTGGACCGCTTTCATGTGGCAGTTTCCCGTGAGTTCATCCCTAGGCCTAACATAGCTCATCTTTAGTCCTAACCTGGCTTAGAGTATTGTGATAACATGCAAATAACCTTATATAAGATAACAATTACTAGTGATGATGGAAAAAATTGTGTGGTCAATATTTATAGAGGGAAGAGCTTCCTTTTTGCCTGTGCCACCTAAAGGATTGTGCCTACTGAGCCTTTATGACAAATCTGACCTTGTCCACAGCACTGCATAAGTACAAAAATGGTTAAACAATGCTTGCACCTATTTGTTAGAAATTTGCCTTGGGTCCAGACACTATATTTTTATGGACCTCTCCCTTGTGTAGCAACCTACAAAAATATGTGTACAGGGCCAAAATGTTGTGGACAACCCTTCAAATGATTGAATTCAGGTGTTTCTAGTGAAAGCTACTGTTAAGCAGGCCATAGATGAGTCAAAAAACAAAAGTTCTGTTGAATGAAACACAAAATAGCTCATTTGATTGTGCCATCAATTGTTTCAATTTAAAAAACTAAGTTAAAAATACTAATAATGTGAAAAATGACCTTTTCAACGATCAACACAAACTTTGTTCGCTTTTCCACACGTCTATGGCCTGCTTTAATGCTTCAGTATACAAGGATATTTTACTGAATTGTGTGCTTCCAACCTTTTGGTTACAGTTTGGGAAGATTATATTCTATTCCAGTATTAATGCTAAGTGCACAAAAACATAATTGATGATGTTATAGGCTGGCATGGAGGAACTCATGCACAAAAACATAATTGATGATGTTATAGGTTGGCATGGAGGAACTCATGCACAAAAACATAATTGAGGATGTTATAAGTTTGGCATGGAGGAACTCATGCACAAAAACATAATTGAGGATGTTATAAGTTTGGCATGGAGGAACTCATGCACAAAAACATAATTGATGATGTTATAAGTTTGGCATGGAGGAACTCATGTGGCCAACATAGACTTCAATGCAACTAAACACTTTTGGATTGAACTGGAAAACCAACTACAAGCCAGGTCTTCTAATCCAACATTGGTACCAGACCACTCAAATACTCTTTGGGATGAATGGGCACAGATTCCCACAGGCACACACCAAAATCTTATGAAAAGCCTTATTAGAAGAGTGGACACGACAAGAGGCCAACTCCATACTAATGCCCATGGTTTTGGAATGGGATGTCCAATAAGGACATATAGGTGTAATAATCAGGTTTCCACAAACATTTAGCCACAGAGTGTATAATGCTTTGGACTGAAGACCTTTTTGATTGACTACATTCAGCACACTTTAGAAAACAAACAGGTTGGGGAAGTTTTAGGGACAGACCAAAGATACTTTGGCCTAAGGCAGCAACATTCAAGAAAGTTGTCTTAGTGAAAAAGTGTAGAGTCAAAACAGCAAGTGCTTGTTTACTGCAAACAATGTTTATAAACCGTCTTATTGTACTTTTAAAAGGAGCAGAAAGCTGGGATAATTGCAGTGATATCACGCACAAGTCATTTCAGAGTGCTTATGATTGAAGTAGCCTGTCCTCCTTCCCGGCGTACAAAATGATCCTGACAGGAAGGGCGGTATGCATTGACAATATAACCCAGCCCTGCAATTACTGTCCCGCCATTTGTATTGACTCAGTTGCTTTTCAATTTAAATCTTCGCCAAACCATACTTCTTTTAATTCTGTTAATTCACAAGCAGCTGCTGTGGACATGGCTGACATCATAAGCTGACCGTGGGGGGAACACAAGCTGATTGTCCGGACAGTTCCTCTCTCAATGTAATACCAGTTATTATTGAGAAAAGGAATAGAGCCAAGGATTGTAGCTGCTATTCATCCCACTGGATAGTGTAGGGAAATTCCAGGACAAGTTCAACAATATGTCCACTACAACCATTCTTTGTACTTCTACTGTGGAAGCAAGAATGATCATATCTAACAGTAGTAAGCGCATTTTATATCAAATTTCTTAGAGCTGCATGTTAACACGTTAAACATTGTCTGAACATTTTCCATAAAAGTATATTGTTAGGGATATAGTACTGACCCTTATTACATTTTACACCTAAAGAAACCTCTCTGCAGGGAAATGGATGCATGGGGGTTGGTTTAATAAAGCAAATAGGCTGTTTACGTTGCAAGGGAATCCTCTCTTAGTTTAGTGAATCCGGTGAAAATTCACTTTGCAAAGATTACCCAATCGCATACATGGAAAGTAAAAGAGTATTTTTACTTTACCATCATTGGATGACGAAAGTCACCAATGTTTCACCTCGTTCACTAAGCTAAAGGAAAATTCCCCTGCAAAGTAAACAGCCTATTTGTCTTTAAAGTGCATTCAATATATCTGGTTTCCCACAGTACACAGAACATGGAAATGCAATTATTTTAGTAAATATAAACTGCTAAATACATTTTCTCATTAGCAGTATATACAGTAGCAGTCTTGTGACATCTATTAGTGTCCAGCAGAGCACTGGTAAAGCTTGTAAGAGGAGTTTTCATTCTCCCCTATGAGGCTGCATGACCCCTGACCCTCTGTCTGGACAGTGCTGATTGGCACTGTGCTGATCACATGCACTCCTCCAGGAAACAAAACTCTAGCAATACACACCAAACTGAGCATGTGCAGCTTGCCCCAAGACACTGTTCTATCAGCAGATGGACTGAGGACAGTAGAAGAAGGGGAGGATCAGAGAAGACAGGATCAAACATCCTTTTTACACAATGCAGAGGATTAACCCCCTAGGTTCCACAATGAGTATAACAAGCATGTTTCCTGCATAAACAAACCAATTTTACTGTTGTGAATTTAGTAACACTTTAAGAGGTCAACTCCATGGGGTTTGTGACTCTTGCAGACTACTGTTGGTCCCTCTCTGGTTGTCGTCAAAGGTCTACCATCTTTGACAGCCTCTGATTTGCTGGTCTTATCTGAATGTTGATTATCGACCCATGACAATAATCTCATGCTCCACCACAGGGGCGGACTGACAACTCATGGGGCCCCCGGGCAATAGGGGATCATGGGGCCCCTGTGTCCTTGCCCAAACTCAAAAAAGCCTATGAAAAAGGTACCAGGGGCATCTCATGGGGCCCCCTACTGACCCCGGGCCCTCGGGCAGTGCCCGAGTTTCCAAATGGTCAGTCCGCCCCTGCTCCACCATTGTGGCTGAATTTGAATGCCTAGAGTTGCTGGCAGGTAAAGAACAAACCATTTCAATTGGCAGGTTAAGTAATAGAATCACAAGATGTAGGGTGCAAAATATGTTCACTTTGAGAGAAAGTGGAAAACCAATTTAGGACAAAACTGGATTCTGCAACTCCAGTTAGAATTGCACAGCCTGATTTGACCACGCACAACAAATTCCTTTAAATATTGGGTATTTAAAATGCCCCTGTATTTTAGTACAGTATATTGATATGAGGGAAGAGGGTAAGAGAGTCACACCTTATTCTGGATTTCATTTAGTAAAGGTTCCATTGAATTCTCAAAGCATAATGTCTACAGTGGTCATTGCTTGCTTTTCTCTACCACCTACATTGAATTAAATTTTTTTCTCCAAGGCAGGTTCTTTTAATAATACCCCAACAAAATTAGCATCATATGTAGTATTTACCTTTCAGCTGGATGTGGAACTATGTTGATGCAGTTGTTTATCCCAGGTCCTACACACCTGTCACACAGAAAAAGATATACCAAATGAATACAGAAATATTATCATGTAGAAGGATAGTAAATGGAATGTGATGGTTTGTGCAAAGGAGCATTGGAGAATTCCTCCCAATAATTTCATCATAATGAAAACTATTAGTTATTGTTAAGTTTGTGATCCATTAATTCAGGGGTGCTCAACCTGTGGCCCTTGGAGCCCTCCAATGTGGCCCTCGAACTCAAACTGAATGCAAGAGTTTTCATGTACTTTCAGAAAGTGCACAACACCTGCAAGATATAATAGACGTCTATGGCAAAGCACAGCTAGCCCACAGGAAAACCGCAGGTGCACTGCGCAGCGCCCGTGGTGTGGGTAAAGTGCAGCGCAACAGTGTGAAAGTGAACTTATAGAGGGCATAGGATAGTACATTTACAGTTTAGGGGGCAGTAAACTGCCATTGCAGGGTGAATACATGCCATTGCACGAAACGCGTCAGAGGCTACAGCACTAGGACGCCACGCTGCCGCCATTTATATTGGTCCCGGAAGCCACCTTGGAACACCATTACTGGTCAGTGGTTTCTTGTACTTTTATTTGGCTAATAAAGCACCCTCTGTTTAAACGTTATTACGCTATCAGTCTCCTCTTTTCTGAGCTCTCCACGAGCTCTTACCATCCACAGAGGAGGCGAGCCACCACGGGCAGTAGATGTCGGCTTAAAGAGGGACACCAGACCTGACCAGACCTTACAGGGGACACCCTGGTTCTTTGAGATATCTCTAAATGCGCAGTGTGATTGCGTATCTGGTGAGTGCGCAGTCTTTACACTTTTTCCTCATCACCAATATTAGGACCAGTCATTTGGATCCGGAAGACTCCTAGGCACTTTAACATTTGGATTTATACATAGCACTGTGCACATGTCGAGTCACTGATTAGTGACACACTACACTTATTTTATTTATATATATCTGCACTATGTCACTTTATCACTCATTCTGTGATTTTTAGGAGTACCAGTGATATTTATTGATGCTTGAACTACATGACTATTTAGACATGATTAAGGTTTTATTTTAATTTCGTTTTATATGTATTTTTATTCGAGTGCTGCAACCTGCTGTTGTATTATCTGTTTTGAAGGTTATTGGTACCTTTGGCGTTTAGCTGCCTATTGACTTTTAGCGCTCACTTACCCCCCCCTTTTATATTGTAAAATGCCATAGTTGAGACTTGTTTTTAACCCCCATCCCCCTCCCAACCACTGGTATAGTGTCAGGTGACCCTGCCCCATGCACCAGGGGGCCTGTGCAGCTTTTCTGTCATATTCTCTTTTACACTTGGATAGGAGGGGCTTATACAGGAACTGATCCTCTCCATTTTCATCCTGCAACTGCTGGAAGCCAGCTTCTCATCCTCTCCCTCCCAACGGCATTCAGCGATGGCAGGAGGAAAATATTCATTATGCTATTCAAAATAAAAAATGAGAAATTCTGAACCATTTAATTTCATTGTGGCTCGTGATTGGTTACCAAATCACTTAAGTGGCTTTCAGTCTTCAAAAGGTTGAGCACCTATGCATTACTTGAAGATATACACTGAAAAGTAAAATTCCCATGTGAGAAAGGTTTTGCCATTTATCATGGCAGCTGTAGATGGACATGAGCATCCTGGCACCTATAAGCAAAATGGCTGTCTTGGCACTTTAACATTGGTTTTCCATTGAGGACACCAAGTGAAAACTCACCCTGCTGTACAGTTCTCATGGCAAGGCAAACAGATTTTATTTGCACTAGGGTACTTATATACTCGTCCTTTTTCTCCCATCACTCCATGAGGACAGTCAGACACGCAATGCAACCCGTCACGAAAGTGTGCACACTGAATGCAAGAGTCCGCACCCTGCAGAATAAAGAACATCACATGATACAAGGCCATGATATTTAAATGTTATATACAGGGGATAGTAGGGACAATATTCAGTAACTCACTGTTCCATTACAAGTTAGACTTCCTTCCATTTTCTGACACTCTGCATGACACTGGAGGCAAAGGCCATCTTTCGCAAACTCCCTCTTATCGCTACAATAAAAACAAAGATAGATGGAGTGTAATGAGGAAGACTCAGTAAACAAAGTAAGCAAATAATAGACATATAGCATTATCAAGATTTACCCTTCGAAAAGGTTGCAGAACGGTACGCAAATGCTGTCTCGGCTAAAGTTCATGCATGACAGGCATTGGCTGGGCCCAGGACCCCAGCATCCGGCATCAGAACAAAGCGGATCACATACTCTTTTTTCCTCAACTATGAATAAATAAATAAATACATACATACATACATAAATAAACATTTCACCTACTTTAAAAAGTCATTGCTGTGTTTAGTTACAGTATTGTTAATTAAAAGCACTGCTTCTGTACTGATCAAACACTTTTATACATCATGCTTCTAACTGAGGCGGATGGCAATATAACTTTCACTGGGTTAAGTTAATGATCACATTTTTAATACTAGTCTGCCACAACTTTCCCCAGTAGCTTCATGCTGAACTATCAACTTTTTCTAAAAAGATAAGTAATGGTCCCCTTGAAGTTTGAAGCCCTATTGTACTAGTATGCACTGTATAGTAGGACATTATTACAGACAGAGGGAGCTTCCATATTTGTCCGGTCTTCCTTCCAGGTTCTGTATCTTCAGCTGCATGAATGGCTGGGCCGTGGTGGCGTCACTCACGCCAATGTGCACGAAAGTCACATCACCACGGCGCGCAGAGTAGGCTGATAATGTGGTCTGAGCTGCGCATGTGCGGCTCAGATCACATTATTGCACACAGGCAGGGGGAAAATATATGACAGAAGAGACCACAAGGTTCTCTTCTGTCATAAAAACCCTACCTATCAGCAGATTTTGCATAAACTGGCTTTACTACCGTTTTAAAGTGGTAGTAAAGGCTAACTCTAACTATTCTTAAAAATGTCCCCTCCACCCTCCCCCTACTTCTACCTACCTACTCTGTGATCTACTTTTTTTAAATCTAGTTCAATCCTTTTGCGTGATTCACCAGCTCCAGCTACCCTGTGTAAGGGAGCACTTGACAATGGCTGTGAATTCCCGAAGATGGGACCATAGCTTCCCATGGTCCAACCAGGGGCGGACTGACAATTCATGGGGCCCCCCGGCAATAGGGGATCATGGGGCCCCTGTGTCCTTGCCCCAACTCAAAAAAGCCTATGAAAAAGGTACCAGGGGCATCTCATGGGGCCCCCTACTGACCCCGGGCCCTCGGGCGGTGCCCGAGTTTCCAAATGGTCAGTCCACCCCTGGTTCCAACCATTGTCAGCGCTCCCTCCTTTCCTCTGCAGCAGCTACTCACTGATACAGGGAACGAGGAGAGGATCTTCCGCTGCAGGCTCTAAACCCTCTATGACAGGAGTTGGTTCCCTATAGTTATTAGCCACTATACCAGTACCAGTCTCTATAACAATTCCATAGACGAGATGGGAACTGCGCACTATGTTAAAAGCTTCCAAAAGCATTTATGAAATCATCAAACAGATAAATCAGTCTATACAGGGTACAAAACACACTAACATGTTTTACTTAACAAAGAGCCCTGTGGCTATAGTAAGCTCTTTGTTGAGTGAAAATGTTAAGGTGTTTTGTACCCTGTATAGAATGATTTGTCTATTGGATGATTCAATAAATGCTTTGGAAGGCTTTTAACACAGTGAGTGGCTCCCCTTTCTTCTAAGGGATTGTTACAGAGACTGACACAGGAAAGCCATAGTTGCTGAATCACGTGACGGGACCGGATTGAAAATAGGTAAGTACACATATCTTTTTTATACAGGTTGGATAGGAGGGGGGGGGGGTGCATTTTTAAAATTAGTTAGAGTTAGCCTTTACTTCCATTTCACATTAAGTATTACTCTAGCCTAAACCCTTTCTTTTGGGATAAGGTGGTTTAGAGTTAATTATCCTGGTTTGTACTGCTGTCTGTGGCAGCCTTGTGGGATACTTTTACTTGTTGCCTATTTAAGTGGAAACATTGCTAGAACAAGAAGTGAGGGGAGATATCCAACTTGTTCAAAGACATAAAAGTCTGGGTTGGCTGACAAGGATGTAAATTCACCTAGTTGGGCCGCAGTAGAGCAGTGTCATCAAAGTTTCAGGACCTATGGCTGGATGCGGTATAACTGGTCGTGCCCATTAAAATTTTGGATGTTCAATTTCTATTAGATTTACCAACAACTCTAATGTGAAGGCTACCCAGACTCTGCTGATGGCCTCTCCAATCACCTTCAAACTGACAGACATGCATTAATATGCTTGCACTTTATCACAGAAAATAATTTGGTATTTTATGTTATTTAATCAAATCCACTAATTATTATTATTACACAGGATTTATATAGCGCCAACAGTTTGCTCAGGGCTTTACAATATAAAGGGAGACAATACAGCAACAATACAGTTCAATACAAGAGCGTTAGGAGGGCCCTGCTCCTTGGAGCTTACAATCTAAGAGGGAGGGGCTGATGGTACATAAGGTAACAACTGTGGGGGATGGACTGCTAGGAGGAATAGAATATTAATTAAAAAAATTAATTAAAAATAACTAATTTTTAAAATGAAGATAATTTAAAAAAAGGCAAGAGAATACTGTATATTTTACACTGTATGCAAATACTTATTTTTTCTTTTAGGTCTATTGGTTACAATTAATACAAAACAAATGTGCAGGTCAAATAAAGGCAACAAAGGAGATTTAAATCACTAATACTGACATGAATATGAGCAGTTCCTATGCAATCACCATAAAGTCAAATACATAGCACAGTGGCTAAATGGTTAGCACTTCTGCCTGGCAGCACGAGGGTTGTTGGTTCAAATTTCAACCACAGCACCACCTGCCTGGAGTTTGCATGTTCTCCATGTGTCTGCGTGGGTTTCCTCTGGATACTCCGGTTTCCTTCCACACTCCAAAGACATGCTGTTAGGTGAATTGGCTCCTGTCTAAATTGTCCCTAGTATGTGTATGTATGAATGTAAGTTAGGGACCTTAGATTGTACACCCCTTGAGGGTTAGGGAATGATGTGGATGTACAATATATGTATGTAAAGTGCTGCGTAAATTGACAGCGCTATATAAGTACCTGAAATAAATAAAATAGCAAAATTAGTACTTACTACGGTAGCTGCAGCTTTGTTATTCTTCAAATCGGCGTTTGGCCGTCTGTTTGAAAATAATAGCGACCATTTTATAGTGTGGTAATAGCAAAGGTTCTCATTCTCTGTAATGTACACCTTCCCAGCACTAATATCCCGCAGTGAACGAAACCCCAAAGATGTCACATTACTGTTTTTCATTATAAGGAGGGAGACTCCTCGGCTGAAAAAGAAAGGAAAAGAAAGTTCACATACTCTGGAGAACATATAAAACAAACTATACACACTACAAAATGAAGGCATTACAATATAGGCTGAGATAATATGTCAGTTCTGGATACAATTCTGGTAACTTGATAAACTCCCACGATTCAATTACCATCTCTTAGCTGATGACGCAAATCTATCTGTCTACCCCTCACCTCACCCCTTCAGTTTCCACCCGCATCGCTAGCCTACTAAACGACATATTGACATGGATGTCACTCCACTTCCTCAAACTCAACCTTTCCAAAACTGAGCTCTTAGTATTCCCCCCTGCCCGCGCCCCCCCCACTGACTTCACCATAAATATCGCTAACACCATCCTCAGTCCATTCCCTCACGCCAGGGTACTAGGTGTAATCCTAGACTCCCATCTGTCCTTCCAGCCCCAGATCCAATCGCTGACAAAATCATGTAGACTTCACCTCTGCAACATCTCCAAGATACGCCCGTTCCTAACCCTGGAAACCATTAAGCAACTTATCCACTCCCTTGTTATATCTTGCCTTGACTATTGTAACTCCCTCCTCATTGGCCTACCTCATCGCAGGCTATCCCCTCTTCAGTCTATCATGAATGCTGCTGCCAGACTTATCCACCTTACTAACCGTTCCGTATCTGCCACCCCTCTCTGCCAATCCCTCCACTGGCTCCCAGTTGCCCAACGGATAAAATTCAAAACACTAACAATGACATATAAAGCTATCTACAACACTGCCCCAATTTACATAACAGATCTTATCTCTAAATATCACCCAAACTGTACACTCCGCTCCTCGCAAGACCTCTTACTCTCTAGCTCCCTCATCTCCTCCTCCCATGCTCGTCTCCAAGACTTCTCCAGGGCGTCACCCATCCTCTGGAACTCCCTAGCCCAATCTATCAGACTATCACCTACTCTACTCGCCTTTAGGCGAGCACTGAAAACCTATCTCTTCAGGGAAGCCTATCCCGCCCTCTGCTAATTCTGGAATCCTCTACTCTTCCAACCATTCCATCCCCCACAGTAACTACCTACTGTACCACTCACCCCCACCCTCCTAGATTGTAAGCTCCAAGGAGCAGGGCCCTCAAATCCCTCTTGTATTGAACTGTATTGTTACTGTATTGTCTCCCACTATAATGTAAAGCGCTGAGCAAACCGTTGGGTGAATTGGATCCTAAGTGTCCCAGGCAGCCCAAAAATCTAAATCTGAACCCTAGCATGCAGACAGCAAAATCATAGTAAACTCAAAACTTCTGCATATTCTTCCTGGTCGATGACTTAAGTGAAGCCAATGGATCAGCATGATCCCAGGAAACTAGTCTTTTTAGAAGGAGAGGTCCACAGTGACAGCATTCATGTTTCCCTCAGTACTTTTCCTTTAATCTCAGTCTACAAATTATTATATTAACACACTTTTGGATGAGTCACATTAAAAAAGTTGAGCAATAAAAACTTTAACATCTATTTCTAAATTATCAGTGCTAAAGTCATACTGTGATCCCA